TAGAAGCTAAAACTATTAGCTATCCCGAATCCAGCTAACGAATTAACTCTGAGAGCTAAACTTTAGCTAAGCGAGCAAATCATTTTTTTGCGTGCGGCGCGACGCGGTAGGGTTGTATGGCACAGTCTGCGGTTAGGCTAAAGGGGTGAGACTGGATTCTCGCCATTGTCTCTCGGCAGCGGGTCCGTGATGGATCTGCCAGATAACACCAAAAGTCCCCATCATCATCGTCGACCGTCGTCTGTCTCCCCCCCCCTCCCCCATTTAATCGGACAGAGTTCAATTTGAAAGCTTGCGCGCGCAGTGCGCAGCAGTCTAGCCGCATTCACTCTGGTGAGGCTTGTGGTGTGGATGAAGAGTGCGTCGTCGGGAGGGCGCGACAGGGTTCCGCGGCCACTCGGCACTCGACAGCGGCAGCTGAGATCAGTCACAATCTGGACCGATCAATATTCAACGTCAGGTTCCGGGCGCTGCTGTGCTGGGCTGCTGTGCCGTGCAACCGATGTCCACGCCGAACCGAATTGGCCTGATAGAGAGAGAGGGCACTCACACACAGATGTCGATCTTAAGCTTTCCGCTCACAATACTTTTGTACTTTCCTTACTGTCATTGTCAGAGAACGACAAACGGCGGAAACCAAACATATTACGACGGGGTCAGTACTTGCAGCCGAGCTACCCCTAGATACAACATTAATAGTAAAAACAAAACGTTGGACATTCTCAAAGAAGTCGACACTCACGACTGTGCGTGACGTTTTGGTTCTATTTATCCAGGACTGTTCCATTGTCAACGTAGTGGCGGGCTATACATAGCGAAACGAGAGAGCGAGGGAGAGAGAGAGAGAGGAGGAGAAATAGGAGGGTAGGGGAGGGTAGGGGAGGGTGGGGAGAGAGAAGTCGAGGAAGCGACGAATCAAGTCCAATATTCCTTATTCTCTCTCGTTCTCTCTGTCTGGCTCTGGGCGCGGCGGGTGCCAAATGCAATGCGCATACTTTGACTCCCCGCAGGAATGCCGGCCGCAGCGTGGGAATGCAGCCCGGCCCCGCCGGCCCTGCCCGCCCCGCCGCCACCCTCCTGCAGCCAGTCTTTTAATAGCGCCGGATATTGGTCCGGAGGTCCGCGGGACGGGGCGGCGGGATCCGAGCCGGCGGCACTCGGTCGCATTCGATTGGCTAGTCCCTCTTCCACCACTTCGTTCGCCACATTTTCTCGACCTTTTCAAACGCGTCGACAATAATGCACAGCCGCTTTTAACCTGCTGTATAAAATCGCCTGAAAATTGCGCGAAACCTTTGAGCATCGGTCTTAAAAAGGAACGACCATTTTTTTTAAAAGTCATTTGGCAAAATTACGGGATCTCAGCGCCTGCAAAACTCGGGGTAGGCCAACCCGCAGTACACGCATGCACCGCAGGGAAGATATTGCCTACCTATCAGGCGCTATGTGAGCTTGCGTTTGCTGAATTAAGCAAGTTCGTACGCTGATAAACTAGTGTGCAGCGGTGTGCTGCAAGTTGAATAGTGAACTACAAAAAAGCATAGTTAATCATCCAACGGTAATTAATACATCATGTTGGTGTTGAAAAAACTAAGGTCAGCGTTACAAGGAAACCTGACCCCCCCCCCCCGCACGGCCAGCCCGATCTCCCTGCGAAACCTAACTGTTGATAACGTTTTGACCTTTTCCAATTTTCCGTCCAAGATCAAGTCGGGTGGAAACACCTATCGTAGTGCCAAAGACCTCGATCACCCTCCCCCGCCCCAGCCCAGCAGGTGAAAAGAGTTCCCTTCGTTCGATAGCAACACAGCCCCCGCCAGGGAGAGCCCGGAGGGGCCCGGACCGGGGGCAGCGGCGATAGGCATCCCCCTGCCTTCATTCCAGCTTCTCCCACCCCGCTCCCTGGCCCCCCTTCCCTCTGGAGTCCAAAGCGTAGGACGCCTGGAAACAGTCGGCCAAACTGTCCGCTTGTCAGAGCAAGTCACAGAGACTCCCCTTCTGCCCCCAACCCTAACAAATGAAGGGTGCCCGGCGAGATGGCCAAGCCCGGGGGGGGGGGGGGGGGAGCATCTTGCGCAAAATTATGTTGTGAACTTAAAACGTCATAATCGTTTCCAAACTACAAAACCACAGCAAATAATCGTGATGGGCTTTAATTCCAGGCAAACAAGAAAGATTCCAGCCCGCACATCACGGGGAAGGAATCGGAGTTTCCTCTATTAGCGTCCTGTCAGACGAATTGGAAGGCGAGCTCAGCAGAAATGGGGTCGGGCAGCGGGCCAAGGACAAGATGCACGGCCGTGACTGCGCGATGAGTGGCTCATGTGCCGATTGCAATCGACCGACCCCCTGAAGGGCTCCAGGATGTGGTCCAGTCCAGCCTCCAGGAGGGAAGGGGAAGTGAAACCGGGGGATGGATCTCCCGCCGCCACGTGGAGAGGGGCAAGAGCTAGGGGACGGCGGGGAAGGATCCCGCAGTAAAACTTTCAAAACCTTCAAGGGGAGAAAAAGTTGGAACGAGAGATGTTCCCCCGCCCCACCACCCCACCCCAGCCCGGGGGCAGCGAGGAGGTCCACCTCAGCCCGGCGGCGGCGCGCGGCCGAGATGTTTTAGAGTGCAAGGGCCCATAAGTCTGTCCGGGGAAGTAGTGCGCAAGTGTGAAGTCCTACATCACAGCTCGCTTTCGAAAAAAGGAAAAAAACACTAAAGGAGGAAGGAAACTGAAACTAGAGATACGACTTGCAGCCTCACTTGGAGCGACCCCACTGAATGGTATTGTTCTAATCGCATACCGTCCGAACCATGTTGGCCGGTACAGTACTTCTCGGCACCACTCGCAGCCTTCACCGCGCTGAACGGAAATGGCACCTTCGCCTCCACGCAGACCGGAAGTGGGGTCTTAGGCGGCGACCTGACCGGAAGTAGAACCTGCGTGGCGATCTATCCATCACCAACCGGCCAGGGTGACGCGGCTAAAAAGGCCCCCGCCCCCAACCCCCTTGCTTTTTTTTCAACCCTCCCATCGCGCGGACAAAAAGGTGGCACGTTATTTTTCTCTCCTCTTTTTTCCCCTTTTCCTTTTGGCTTTTCCCGGCACGTCCGACAGGATTTGAAGAAGGGCCATCTGGGAATGAGTTTCTCGACGGCAGTGCCGCGACCCCCCTTCCTCCCTCAACCCCCTTCTCGCAGCAGAGCCCACAGCCGAAGGCGGGGGCGGCGGACGGCTATCTATTGACTTGGGCAAAGTAATGCAGAGAAAATTTAATCTGTATTGAACCCCCCTGGGGGGCGAAAAGGGATTGGGGGGGGGGGTGACACGCCGGGCACCACCACCGCAGCAGCAGTACTAGGGGAGGGGGGCAGGTGCACTCCACGCCCGCTGCTCAAATCTTGCTCAAAGTTGTAAGTGGCGCTAACGCCGAGCCTAACGCAGCAGCTCTGGCGGAGTTAAGCGGCGTGACGTCATCGAGGATTTGACGTAACGCCGCTCGGCTCGGCTCGTCTGGCGGCCCGGCGGCCGCCCTAATGTGACGGGACTTGGGCCCCGGGAGGGCCTGATGGTGTCGTTAACAAAGTTAAAACTCCGCTATCACCAGGCTGCTAGAACTGCCGCAGAACTGCTCGCAGCCTCGGCCTGGGGAAAGGGGGGTTAGCTCCGCTTCGTGGGACTCACCTTGGAGATCGGCAGCACGGCCTGGATGTCGTCCTTCTGCACCTGGAAGCGGGCAACGAGCTTCCGCCGAGTCTCCTCGACGAGCTCGCCGTGGTGCCGCTCTGGGTGGCCCTGGTGCGCCTGGTGCTGGCCGGCGTGGTGACCGTGGTGGCCCTGGTGGCCCTGGTGGTGGTGGCCGCCCTGGTGATGCGTCGACCTCGGCCGCCTGGACCGCGCGACCGAGCCACCCGCCGCCCCGCCGATCGTGGCGACGCCGTCGGCCTGCATCAGCGTCTCGGCCACGGGCTCGGCCTCGGCCGCGTCCGCCGCGTCCACGCCGTCCTGGCCAAGGTCGGGCTGCTGAGAGGGCCACGGCTCCGGGGCGGCCTCCCCGCCGGCCTCGCCGCTGCCCTCCAGGACGTAGCGGACGCTCCAGACGATACGGGCGTCCTCCCACAGCTCAGAAGAGTCCTCGGCGACCTCCAGCAGCCAGGAGAACACCTCCGACACTCTGTCAGGCAAGTGAAACGCAGGAGTCATTAGCACCGGTATATGGAAAAATGTCATCCCGCACGCCAACAAGTCAATACTGGCCGTAGTATAGATTCGTGCCGGGTGGGGCTTCTCAGCCTCAGCAGGCGCTGGCTACGAGCTACGACCCTTGTTCGTCCTTGTGAGCGCGTAAATTTAAAAAGCTGTACATGTACGACATCGCAATCTTGATAGTAAATGTAGGACACTTCCAATGAAAAATTTTCCTATGCCAGGTAAAACAATTTCTCGCCAATTTCTAACACTAGATGAAGAAAATTTAGGAAAAACTACAATTTTTACCGTCAGTTTCTATGTGCGCGGTATCGCGTGAGAAAATGGAAAACAGAGGGAAGTAAGAGGTCGTTGGGGGAGAGGGTGGAGTGGGGAAAGGGGGGGTTGAGGGCAGACACTGCATAGCCGGGGTAATGAGTGCGGCAGAACATAAGGGCTCCCCGAGGACATAACGGGCGTCCGAGAGGAAAACCAGGTGGGGGAGGGGTGCTGCCGCGCCGACACAACGCAGCAGACCGGCGCCAAAAAAATATAATACCACTCATTTTCCGCACGTTTCTGCAGCAGCGACGGCAGCGCTTTCTAGGCGGCACGGCAGCAGCAGAGGGGCTCTCCGGCTGATTGCAATGTGTATTGCAAAAAGGGGGGGGGGGGGCAGCGGAACATACTCTCGCCTGGGCGCGTCTAGGGCGTCACGTTCATCTCATTCAAAGTTGGCTCGGCCCAGCAGCCTGCTAGGCGGCCCCGGGGCCTGGGCGGCGGGGGGCGGCCGCGCCTCGCCACGCCACGCCACACCCCACGGCCAAACTTTAAGTGGACGCACGGGGGCGGGAGGGGGCGGCACGGGCCGACCACCAGCCCCCCTCACGAGCACAACGACCTCCTCGACGACTGGAGAACAAGCCCCCGCAGTCGGGGCGGAGGGCTGGATAGGCTCCAGGCCGCAACCCCAGTGGTGGTGGTGGAGGGGGGGTCTCAGGCATCAGCCGAGATAAGAGGCGGGGTCAGGTCAGGCGCAGGGCGACAGCATCAGCATAGTGTATTCGGCTGCTGGAGAGGCCCTCTAAGGCCGGACCGCTTCATCTCCAGCAGAGGTCTCTGCGGCCGCCCGCTGGAGCTGTGGAGAGAACCCCACTCGAGAGCTTTCCTCCGGAGCAGTCGAGCGCCGAGCCAGTCTCTGCAGCACGAGGATGCGGTACCTGCATGTGCAATGTGCATGCAAATGCGCAAACCTCCCTTGCGCGATGGCTTTACGCGGCCCTCCCGTTACCCCCCCC